TAGAAAGATTAAGAAAAGCGAATCTCAAAATTAAATTAGAAAAATGTTCTTTTGCTCTGCATGAATTAGAATATTTAAGACATATCGTAGGAAGCAATGGTATCAAACCAGATTCTAAAAAGTTACAAACTATGAAGAATCTACCTATGCCTAAAACACCAAAAGAAGTTAGAATAGCTTTAGGATTATTTTCTTATTACAGGCATTTTATTCAAAACTTTGCAAAAATCGCAGGACCTTTGCATGATTTAACTAAAAAGAATAAAGAATGGAATTGGACTAATCAACATCAAGATTCGTTTAATACTTTAAAACAAAAATTAATGGAAGCTCCTGTCCTAGCCCAACCTGATCTTAGAAAAGTTTTTATACTACAAACAGATGCTTCTGATAAAGGATTAGGTGCCGTTTTTACTCAAAAGGATGATCAAGATGCTGAACATCCAATCACTTTTGCTAGTAAAAAACTATCTGACTTAGAATTAAAATATACTACTACAGAAAAAGAATGTTTAGCTGTACGATGGGTCATTGAATACTTCGATCATTATTTATGCTACAAACCCTTCAAAGTAGTTACTGACCATTCAGCTCTTAGATGGTTACTGACTACTAAACATCTTAAAGGACGCATAGCAAGATGGGCCTTATTCTTACAAGGATACGATTTTTCAATTAAACATAGAGCAGGCAACAAGCACTAAAACGCTGATGTCTTTTCAAGATTAGTACCTGTCAATATGATTGAAAACTATGATTCAGACGAAAACACGACTAATAACTTAAAATGGATCCAAGTACACTTCTCAATACTTAATGTATCAGGATGTCAAACCAAATGGCAATGGAACGGATTAGCTAATAACCATAATTATTGAAGAAATACTTACCCATGTAAAGAAACTGACCACTATTCCCATTGGTATTGCAAAATTTGTTTTCACTGTGTGAACCCCTATAGCAACTATATTCCAACTCCAACTGAGAATACCTTATGTAAATGTAATAAAGAATATTAAGAATTTTCTGATTACATTAATGAAGAAAGTTATTCGCTCTCAGATTCATATGGAGAAAATATGTACCAATGTTCACATAGTGATGGTGATTCCGAATCAAACTATAGTTCAGAAGAAAATAGATCTTTTATTGATGGAAAAGGACACAATTGGAGACAGGACATGCATGATATTTACTTATAAGCCGCTGAATTTAAGCAAACTACTATCAAACAAATGAAAAATAATGCCCTAGTTGAAACTAAATAAGATTACTCTGTTAATTGTACTCTCTGTGGAAAGATTATTACAACTGAATTAGAACATGATTGTATTGTTGGATATGGATTAGGACAAATCCATCCTGAAATGAAACCTGAAGCCCTAGTTAACGAAGTATTCTGAGAAATACCAGAAGCAGTACAATAGCAGGATAAAGCTCATCGAAAAGCACATTACTTTCAGAACGAAGACGAATGGACTCAAGAAGAATTAGACAAATTATTTGATAATTATGAACCTTTTATTACTCCTGTTTTTAGTCAAACTACAACCCCTGACTTAGATTTTTAATTATATTTTATCATATCGCATATTATTTTTAAAATTATTATTATTT